AACAATTCAAAAAAAAATTAGGAGTTCATTGGGACAAACTTGTAGCTATATATTTCGTCCTCTAGTCGTCATCTATACAAATGTAACTTCATACAGTACAAACAAGGCTTAAAAATTTTTCATGGCATGATTTGATTAACTATTTTCTAGAAGAACACTCGGATCAAATTGTCCCGTACAATCTAAAATCATATAGTACAATTAATTTAAAAAAATTACAAATTTTATACCCCCCATATTGTGTGTGTTCACAGTTATCCAATTACAATCATACTCGCTTAGACTCAAGAAAAATATAAAAAGTACATACTTCAAAAATATTAAACCCTAATATAATCTGACTTGAAGTATTCAACTGTCTAGAGTATGATTTCCTTGAAATGTTAGTACAAATAAACAACTAAAATAATATTTTCAATATATGTTAGGAGAAATATAAATCAATACAATGATATTTTGGAATCATAAAAAACACACATTATATGAAAAAAAAATTATAAAAACTAAGTTGCAATAACAAGCATCACACAGGTGATCCTTACTGAACTCTAGTTTGGGTATTCCTCTCACTAAGTCTTTCAGGGTGATCTTTCTAAGGCTTTTTATGTTTGCATAACACAATCTCCTATATCATAACCAGGATTAATCAGCAATTATTTTTAAGCAAAGAGCAGTGTTAGATTTAATGAAATTTGAATCAAACATGTAGACATTATTAATCCTTTTTCCCTATAAAATAATGTTATTATTTAAACTTATTAAGCATATGGTAGATAAAAATTTTATGTTAAGTCCTTTATCATACAGCTGACTATTGCTGAGGAGGTTATGTTTCAAGCTATCTACTATTAAAACATTTCCAATAATGAAATTTTTAGAGTTGTCAATTATACCTAATCCAACCACTCTCCTAGCGGTGTTGTCTCCAAGTATTACCTTGTCTCCTGCCCTGGCCTCAAGTGAAATGAATTAATTTGCATCTCAAGTTATATGCCTTGAACATCCACTGTCCAAGTACCACATGCTCTTATGAGGCCTTTTGTGAGAGCACACTTACAAAATTATTAGATATTAGATTTGGGTCCCATCTTACAGAAAGAAGAATGAAATGCCTGTTTGTTATACTATGAATTTTGAACTTTTGGTCTCCACACTAAATGTGTTCTACGGTGAATCATGCAAATGTGGGAGATATATCCTAGCATGCCATAAGAAAAATATCTAAAACCAAAAAAGAATTTACTAATCTATTTGGGTTATGGTACCTCTTCCTAGGATTGAATGATGCATGTTGAGGTGATGGATTATAAAAATCTTCAAGTGAAAGTAATTTTTTATTTTCCTTGAAAGTATTTATTTTTATTTGTAAAAATTGATTTACACTTTGAAGAATTGAATTTTCAACTTTCAATGCATGCTCCCTAATATTTAAATCAAATGTAGGAGTACATAAGTTTTTGTATGCATTTTTTAAATTAGCAGGTAATATTTTCAAGGAACCATACTCTTTAAATAACTCAAGATGTTTTTTATTAAAATAGTCAAATTTATCTAACAAAGCTATGTGATTGCTATCCAGAGTGGAATGATCTTTCCTTAGGATTTCATGCTCTTTCTGCATATTTAAAAAAATTAATATTGAGGCTAGCATATAATTTCCTGAGCTTCCTATATGAATAATACAATTTTTCAAAAACTTCAAGTAAGTGGTTTTATGTAAGCTCACATACTTCTTCTTGATCAGAGTGATCAAGATGATCATCAACCATTAAGCAATGATTTATTATCTCCTATTCTGCTTTAGTTTTAGAGGAGTCTGATGCTGAGTCCACCCAGAAAATCTTTTGGGTTCTTTGCTTGCCCTTCCTAAACTTAGATTTTTTATCACCCTTCTCCTTACTTTGGTGAGATTTAAGAGTTGGGCAATAAGACTTCAGATGCACTAACTTCTTGCATTCAAAATAAATAACATGAAAGGAAACTTTTAAAATTTTTATTATTCTTACATTTGTTCCTTTTCTGATGATGCTTTAGCTTTTTCCTTAAGAAGCTCTTAAATTACCTAGTTATTAAAGCAATGTAATCATTTTTAGAACCAGAAGAATCAGTGTTAGAGTCATTAGCCTTTAAGGCTACAGTTTTATCATTTTTTTTCTCACCTACATCAAGCTATCTTTGGTTTAGTCTTTGCTCATAAGCAATGAGTGATTCAAGTAATTTATCAATTGATTAAATATTCAAATCCTTAGATTCAGTAATAGAAGTAATTTTTGCATCAAAAGAATAAGGTAAACATCTCAGAATCTTGTTAACTTTTTTTATAATTTATAAGTTCTCTTACTAATGTATATAGGGATGTAACAATCTGTGTAAGCCTAATACACATTTCATAAATAGATTTGTTAGGTTTCATGTGGAAAAGTTCATAAGTATGAAGAAGAATGTTCAGCCTAGATTATTTAAGTTCCTTTGTTCCTTCATAAGCAATGCATAATTTGTCCCAAATCTCTTTACCAGTTATACAAGTGAAAACACGTATATAATCTTCATTTTTAACGCACATAGAAAATAGTTTAGATATTTTGCATTTAGTTGTGCTAAATCTCTACTTTTAGCAGTCCATTCAAAAAAAGGGATTTCAGTTTTAACACCATTTACTAATCTAAGAGGTGCAGAATAACCATCATGAATTAGCATCAATATACGATAATCAATAGATTGTAAAAAGGTGGACATGAAATCTTTACAAAAATCAAAAGAAATATTATCAAATAGAGGTGGTATAGTTATTGAATATTTTTGTACAATGTTTTTATTTCCAAAGTTAGCCATGGATCTTAATTCAAAAGTTTTTTAAAACTTGATCTTATGAATCCTACTCTGATACCACTTGAAAGTTCGTGAGATGTGTTAAACCATAAAGAACTATTCCCGAGGCTAACCAAGAGGGGGGGGGGGTGAAATTATTATTTAAAATTTTTCTTAATGAAAAGGAAAATCTTTTTGATTTTTTTTTGAATATTTTAAAATAAACAATTTATGCGAAAGCAAAACTAATAATAATAATAACAATAATAATAATAATAATAATGATAATAATAATTATGTTAATATTAAAGATTAATAAGAAAATTAATTAATAATACTACTAGTAATTAATAGTAATAATCAAAGATGATAAGAAAGCATATTACTATGAAGGAGGAGGAAGTCATATATGTTGAGTAACAACAACTAGGATGGCCTAGACTTTGAAATAGGGTTAGCAAATTGATCAATCTGGTCGGGTAGGTGGTTGGTATGGCGAGGATTGATTGGCACATATTGGGAAGTCGGATCGTAGTCAGGCAGTTCGATCAGCTTATTGGAGTTTAGATAAGGTTTGACAACAAAGGAAACTCAATTAATTATGAAGGGTTATTCAACTGGTTTGCATCATGGAGATCAATGGAGGATTTCATTTTAAAATTCAGATGGGTTATGTAGGTGTAGGGATTCAGCACAGTGGAGGGTAGGAGGTAGGAAATGAGGAGTTCAGGAAGTAGTAATGATCCGGTTATGTTTGATAGTAGGTGTACATAAGAGATGGGAGGAAGAAAAAGGGTAGTTGGGGTCAACATCAACTGTGGAGTTAGAGGGATGAATCGGTGGAAGGGCTCGACACAGGAGTTGTGAGTTTTGATTGCGGTTGTGAGGTTGACTACGATAGAAGGATTGACTGCTGGAGTTGAGTGTGGAAGGAGGCATGGTCAGGTACAGTGAACAGATCGACATAGTAGTCAGGATCAAGCTGAAGTTCAGAGGGATATGAGGAGGTTAGCTTGCGACTAATTGAGTCGAATAGAGGATGCAATATATGGGATATGATATAAAGGTAGAAGGTTAAGTAGATATCTACTTAGGGAGTTTGAACGTGGAAGAGAGGTCGGATTGTGAGGAGGCTTGCGTGTGGAGGAAGAAGAATAAGAGTTGGTCTTTCCACTCATTTTTAATAACGAGATCAAGGCCTCCTCGAGTGGGATTTGAGCAGGAATCGCACGAAGAGCATCTTTGGCGTCGAACAGGTAAAAAAATTATAATATTTGAGTGAAATTTTTGGCTCTATGCATAGGTCAACACTTTCCTTATTTTATATCTCATCATCGACGACATAAAAACTATAGATTGAACTTAGGATGTGTAATAGAGGTCTTTAGAATCTCAAACAAATTGAGAGCTGGAGTTCGGAGGCTAAGGGTATGAGTATTCTGTGAATATGAGTTTTTTATTTTAGGTTTTGGCTTAATTCAAACCCTAGGATAGTTGTGGACAGCTAGGATTAGTTTGGAGGGATGCTGGATGTGTGACAAGTGTCCTTGGTTAGTTAGAGAAGCAGAATAAAGGACCAAGCCAAGGACATTGATGCGTAAAGGGATTTTTGCCTGTTGTGAGCATATGAGGGCATTTGGTTTGCCTTAAGCTAAACCAAGAATTAGGCTAGGTTTAGGAGGTGTTTAGGCATGTTTTAGAAGAGGTTTGAGCTGTTGGAGTGAGTGGCTTTTGAGGGAAATGCCATGCATACGAATATTTGATCATTTAGAGACTATTTGAGCTACTTGTTGGCTTTTTGACTAGTCAACAAGTCAAGTTGAATGCTGAGGTAAAGTCTAGGAAAGTTAGAACAGCACATCCCACATCACTGAAAGGGCAAATTATTAGGTCCGAAAATCGGACCTAGATATAGTCCGAATATCAAATTAAAAATTGACATGTGGGCTGCATTTTAATTATGTTTTTTTACTGCACTTTAACAACTCTTTATCTGAATTTTATCTACACTGTCTACGTTTTTTTTTTTTGGAACATTTAGGCCATTTAAGGCAAACTCACACACACAACGCATACACAAAGACTCGAATCCAAGACCTCTTAGTTGAAAGCCTAAGCTCTCAACCAACAAGACAAGGTGAGCTGTGTGTGTGTCTTAGCTTTCAACACCTATATATTCCACACATCATTTTATTGGATTCTACGTCGACGGACCTAATAATTTTCCCTCTGGAAGAGGTGGATTGCAGAAAAGTTAGAACAGGACATCCCACGCCGAGGGAGCAGAGCATGCTTGCCCGTGGATGGAGCAGCGCTGCAGGAAGGACACCGCTTTCTGCAGCGACCATGGATGCGAAATTTTCAAGCCAGGTTCTGAGGAACTTTAGCCGGAGGATGAAGAGACGCTTCGTCATACCCAGAAAGGTCCATCGGTGTTACAAGCCTTGCTCCAGCGCTTTCGATTCCAACAGCAGTAGAAATGGCGGAATCACAAGTTCTGACATAGTGGAAAGGGAATACGCCGATCTCAACCTCAAGGACCTCTATGGTGCCGGACAGGTCAAGGCCTGTGTTTCCTTGTCTTTTCTCATCAATAAGAGTTCAAGTCACTTCTTTTCTTTACTTCGGACCCCTTTGGTTGCTTGCTGATAGAAAATTTGTTACATTTTATTGTTTGGTTGGATGTAATCAGAAACATGCAATTTAAACTTGGAAAAAAAAAATGTGTAAGAACGTCCTAATCTTCTCATGTGGTTTTTTTCCCCCTTAAAACTCTATTAATGTTGGATTCAAGTTTGTCCATGGTGACACCAAACTTTACTAGCATGTGAGCTTTTAGGATATGACCTGAGAACCTATGTGAAAATGGGGAGAGAGAGAGGAAAGAATTTTGTGGAAAATGATTTACTTGCTCAAGTCTCTATAGAAAGTGCAAAAAGATTCAAAATATTCATCTTCATACGATATTTATAGTGGTCTAATGTCTACAGGAAAGATTACATCAATAAATAAATATAAAATACAACAATTAATGACCTTAGGTACAGACTACCTTGCACATATGTCATGCTCTAGCTTATTTGATGGATGATTACGTCTCTCACTTTTTTTTCCTATCTCGATGCGAGTTCCCTAATGTCGAGTAGGTAGGGGAAAATAGGGGAAGGTGATTCCACTAGTCAGGGTTGAGCTGAGTGAGTTATGATTGGCGAGTGCTTTGAAATCTTTGGCTATATTTATTGGAGTCCTAGATGGCTTTCGAGTGGGTGGAGAGTATGTTCAAGTTGCGGAGGTAGTAGGCTCTACAATCGGCTGATTATGATAGGGCAACCCCTTGAAAAGATCATTTCCTATAACTCAGATGATATATATGATTGGTAGCATTCCACCATAGATTTTGACGAGATGGTTGGTTTGTGCCAGAGCATGAGTGATAAGTTGAGTTGTCCAGGCTTAGATGGTTGGTTTGTGCCAGAGGATGAGTGATTAGTTGAGTTGTACATGTAAACCCTTGGCTTTCCTTATGGGAGGTAACTCTTCTCTAACTATTTTGTTGAGTTGGGCTTGGTGACCTTTAGGCAAGTTCTCTTTGTGGGCTCCACGAGGTACGAGTTCACCATCTATAACCTACAGACAACCTGTTAAATGCTTGAAAAGGCATATGTGAGTACATATTTAGTTCTCCTATTTACTTGGCCCTATGTAGAGTGAGTGACGAAAATGACTAGTGAGTTCATTGCGAACATTTAATAGGGCTACCAAATAGTTACTAGAAAGTAAATAAAAAAATTACCATCCTTTTTTTATTGTAGCCTTGATTTTCATGTAGTTTTTTAATGATGACAGTGATGTGATGCCAATTATAATCGACTCCTATAAGAAGCAATCTTGTGCTGGAGCTCTTTACCTTTTTAGATGCTTTAGTTGAACTTTAGTACCTGCAATTGTAATAAAATGGATCATGCCGAGCTAGCAATGTCCAACACAAAAATAATGAGGAAAACCACTATTCGCCTCTCAAAGGGTGAGAGAACTAATAAAAAGGCTACCAACCCTACCAACCCCTCAGTGATTAAAGAGAAAGGCGCTGATGTTATCCCTCAAACCATATAGGGGCCCACTGGGTCAGTTGCCCCTCCCCTTGTGCAGAGTTGAAGGTGGAGCCGAGTGTGGAGAAGATGACCATACCCCTGTCGTCTAAAATTTTAGATCCCCCTGTAAGTGTAGTTAGGGATGGAAATACAACAAGCCTAGAGAAAGTGACGCTCTCCTCTAGTTCTAAGGATGAAACCTTGATTATAAGGTTGATGAGGTGAGTCCCTTTAGTGGGTCCAACAAAGGAAGGGCCCATAGAGGAGATGGCCTCCATGAAAATCGTGCCAGCTTCTATAAGAGTCAAGTTGATTCCTCCCCAAGAGGATGGTAAAAGAATTTTTAATGTTTAGAATGGATCTTGTCTGATGTTCGAGCATCCTCCACTAGTAAGCCCATTTTGTGCCTCTCCTCGAATGAGTTACCTGGACATCCGCCAAGTGACTTAGAGATATTAGCATTGACATAGTTGGCGCTTGTCTTGTACACGAAGACGACAACTCTCCATAATAAACTCTTAGTTGTTCCCTTGAGTTTCTTATATAAACACTTTTTCATTATTGACCCTTCATTCTTGATTAGTGAGCTATGATTGTCAAGTGTTCTGAAGTCTTTGGCGACCATTCTTTAAGCCCCGAAAGGCTTTGGAGTTGAGGTGAGTATATTCAAATCTTGGGGGTAGTAGACTCTAGAAAGGAGAGCTAGATCCATCTTGAAAAGATCATTTCTTGTAGTTGAGATGATGTGTATGGTTGATAAATTTCCACCATAGATAGCGACTAGTGGCTTAGATGTTTGGTTCATGCCAAGGGGCAAGTGATGGGTTGAGTGGTCCATGAGAACTCTTGGCTTTCTTGGTAGGAGGCGACTCTTCTCTGACAGTTTTATTAAGTTAGGTCCTGGTGAGTTTTCTTTGTGTGGTCCACAAGGTACGAGTTAACAAGCTATAACCTGGCAACTACCTGTTAACTTTTTTAAAAGACATGTAGTATACAACGATTGCCTTAAATATAAAGCTTTTGATTCCACCCACCAGTGAGTGAAAATGAATTCCTAATTCCTAAAACAGGTTTTTTATCTAATAGAAACACTTGAATGGACCCTGGTGGGTAAACACCATGATGTTTTTTTTTTTGAGAAGATGCAAATTGCATTACAAAAAAAAAAAAAAAAAAAAAACATTACGAACTAGAACTTGAAAGAAACTAATGGCAATCCTTTCAAAACATTGTGAAAGGAAGCCTTATTAAAAAGAAAATTAAGCAAAAGAGAAATATTTGAATAATAAAAAATATCATAATAAAATAAGATCTTTTACTCATTTTAAACCAATTGGGGTGGAGGGGATACCAAAAAGACTTGGTTAGAAAATATTAGGAATGACCTTTCTTTATTAGGTTTAAATGAGAATTTGACTTTTAATAGAACACAATGGAGAAAAAGGATTCATGTAGCCGTTGAACAGTGTCGGGTCAATTTCGGGTTGGACCCGAACCCGACCCGTGACCCGTTTTTGACAGGTCTAGATAAAGGCTTGATGTTGTTGTTGTTGTTGTTGTGGGGTGGAGGGGATACCAAAAATAAAACAACCAAAAAAGTTGATTAGTATTCCAGATTTCCCGATTAAGTAAAAAATAAGGAATAGAAAGATTCTTAAAATTCATCATTCTATCTCTATACTTCAAATACTAACTAATGCTTAATTTAAACCTAACATAAAAATAGATAAAACAACTAAACAAAGGAAATGCATGAAATGTAAGCAATTTCCTACAGCCAGAGAAGAAGACCGGATATCTACAGCTCCAAACAGTCTGAATTTCACAAACTCCATCATCTTCACACAAGACAAGCCTTGATTTTCAAAAGACAATCAATAGCTCCATAACCCCATAAAGAAAAACCATCAGATTCCTTAGCCCAATCCTTTTTATACCTACCGTCTTTCATCAATCATAAACTTTATTTTGAGATAAATGGTGAAGTGCCACCATCACTTTCACCAAGAACTCCCAATTTCCTTCCTCTAAGGCTGCCTTTGATAGGCCCAAGCAAATTCAAATCCTTATTCAACTTCTTCTTATTTTGTACATGTTTAGAAGACAAATGTATCTTCTTTTCACCTTCAATGAAGCCTTCATTATCTTTTGCATTTTCCTTACATGCCAAACTAGGAACCGCAACAAATTTTCCATTTTCAGAAGCTGGAATACTTTTAACAAAACCTTCAACAATTGTCCCACCGAAATCATTTACAGCATTATTTTCTTTCTCAACTTCTACTATATTTTCATCTGGCTTTGATAAATCCTTATTACAATTACTAACAATAATACCTTCTTCGGGAGAGAAAGAAACCGCAGAAGATTTTAACGGATTTTCAATGGATACCTTGTTTCCATAGAGCTCTATTTGATGAGTAGAATTTGCATCAAGTCCTTTTTCAATAACATAAAAGTTATCAGCTTTTGGAACAAACTCACCATCTTCTAAATGAACTGGACAAGCATCAGCAACAATTAATTCTTTGGATAAATCTGAAACATGAATTCTTCCTTCCACAACCTTAGCTTCAATATCTGTAGCTTTATCATGAAATTTGATTTGCTTAACTGGCTCCGGTTTACTTATGACTTCCGCATCCAATCTCGTCAATTCCTCAGCAAAAACATGAGATAACAACTTAAACTTATTAGATGAAGGTAATTCCGCAGATGGCATATGCACTTGAGAAGAATTATTCTCAGGAATCCCAACCGTAGGCTGAAATTCAGAAACCGGATTTTGGTTCTTTATTTCAGCATTCTGGCTCTTATTCAAATGTCTTGAGTTCCTCCTATTTCTTTTGAATTTCACATGCATCCAAGGACCATACAAAGCCTTCATTCTGCATTAGAAATTTTCCCCTCTAAGACTTTATCAATATCATTTATACTTGTCCTCAAATGAACCTTAGCTTGAATATCAGGACACATGTCATCTTTATGGCCTATTTTACCACATTTGAAACAAAACGAGTAAATTTTTTCATACTCTACTTTTTGAAAGAATTTTCCATATGATCCTTCAATCCAAACTCCATGAGATACTTTAGAATTTAGATTAATGCGAACACAAGCTCTAGCAAATTCTCTCCTTCCCCATTTGAACATGTTTCCATCTAAAAACATAGGAACTCTAATCTTTGAAATAATTTTAGTAATGTTAATTTCATCCCAACAATGCAAAGGCAAATGTGGCAATCGAATCCAAATACGTGAGGATAACCACCCTTTAAGTGACAAAGGAGAAAAATGAGGTGTCCATTTATCCATACCTATTATATTTCCTCCCACATACCATGGTTCTTCACTTAGCACTTCTTCCATAGCATTAGAAGATTGGAAAGAACACAATATCCAATCTAATCCTAATGAAGAAAGATGAAAGTTCCCAAACTTGTTCCATTGTCGTCTCAATTCAATGCTACAAAGAGAAAAAAGGAACAAATTTCTCAAAGACTTCCACTACAAGAGACTTTTGTAGTAATTGAACATTTTCACACTCCTTGTCCATATTAAGTTTAATAACATCATTATCCTCTGATTCAGAAACCGATTCAGGAAGATTAATTTTAATATGGTGAGGCTTTTTCCAAACATTAATTAAGGCTTCCTTATTGATAGCAGCATTACCAGAATTTGATAAAATACTCTTACTTTTCTCAGAAGTTGTTATGGTATCTGGTTACTGACTCATACCACAAACAAAATCTGATTTCAAAAGCTTCTGGATTTTCAGCAAAAATAGAAGGATTCAAAAAACGATTCACCTTTAACCTAAGTCCTGAAGATGTTGAAGCTTCCACATCATTGGCTAGTGGCTCCTTTCCAGAATCGTTATCCTTCAGAGGTGATGACAATACCTTTGGAGTAGATACTTTCTTCTTCTCTCACAGGACTTCATCTTGCAGTACATCTTTGCCTTTTCCGACCACCGGATTCGAATTACGGACAGGGGGAATGTATCCTTCGTTGATGACCAAAGGTTTTTGATTAAATAATGTCTTATAGGAAACATCCTGATTTGTGAAAAAACTGCCTTTGGATCGACAATGAAAACCATTAGGATGCCTAGCAGCTAGGGGATTGGTGGTATTCCGGTCAGCAGACGGTGACCGGCGACGCTCCGCCACCATATCAGAACAATACGGGAAATCAGGAAATGGAAATTTGAAAAAACGAAAGTTTCACTCACTAAAAACCGGGATTCTCTCTCACTAAAAACTGCGACTCTCTCTCGCACCATAATGTTAAAGCTCCTCAAATTGACCTAATTTAAGCATTTCATTCTCTCACTCTATCAAGCTTATTGAAATTGCCTTCAATCAAGTATTGAGCTTGAAATTCAAAATAACATTATCAGTAGTCAAACATTTTTAGTTGCTTTTAGAGTTATGGTTCATTTGATTGCTTAAAGTTAGAGAACATGTTTGGAAAACTGGTTTAATTTTGTTGATCAGCATTTTGTTGAACCCAATTAGAAATTTGTATTGATTTCAAACTCTGCAAATCCCCCTAAATTTCTATCAAATTAAATGATTTTGATTTCAAACTCAAAATATGTGAAAATAAAATCATCAATTTCTAAAACATATTTTTTAGCTACAACCAACCAAATGAGCCCTTGCAATGTGTAAAAAATTGTGATTTGTTATTTACTGTGAATTTTGACTTGTATGCAACCCTGAAATGGAATGAAAAGGAAAGCCAATGGCTGAGTTTTGATCAAACAATGGCTGGTTGAGTTGCAGATTGGTCATGTGCGGATTCGGCAGCATGTGAATCCTCTTGGCTCTTCTTTCAGTGTGAGTGGCTGTGATATGAGGCGCAAATTCATTCAATCAGTGAATTAGATTTTTTGCTTTCAAAGCCTTTCTTCATATCCTTTTTGTTTCTGGTACGTACAGGTACCTGTGGAGGTGCCTGACTGGGATGATGTTTTCAACAACTCCAAACTGCCTCTTATGGTGGATATCGGTAGTGGTATTGACATGTGGACGTCTTTCAGTTCCACGATTGCTTATTTTTATGAATGAATATTATAAATGTTGCTGAAGTTGTTTTTGGTATGGGAAAGTTGGCACCATCTCTACTTCTCTGTGATTGTGTAATGCTTGGAAATGACTACTTGTGCATATTTTACTTGCTATTCAGTTTTTCATCTTTTAGTTGTAGCAGAAGAGAATGCAATTTTCTCTCTTATGATTTGTTGGATGCTTAGAATTTCGTACGCTTTAGAAATAATCAAGTGTTGAGAGGGTATTTCTTTACAGAACCTTCTGTTATTTTCCAAAGATTTTGATGGATATTTGTTCTTTTAAACTGTTTTTTATTCGTTTCGTTACCCTGAGAAGGTCAAAGCTCTTGCTCGTCATGTTCTTGTGCTTATTTTGTCCCCTATAAATCTATCTGGTTCTGGTTTTTATTAATCTTGCTTTAATAATAATAATGACAACTTTGGGTGATCTTTTTTAGTTTTTGAGAGTGCTCAATTTCTCTTTTATTGATTGGTTCAATAATTAACCCATATCCTAAGAGTGGCAGCTTTTCTAGGTAGTGGCAGACTCCTGATTTGGCTTGCTAAAAGATTTCCTGAGTCAAGAAATTACTTAGGACTGGAAATTCGACACAAGGTTTGATTGATAACTCTGCATTTTGTTGGAAGACGTTTTAGTTGAATCTGTTGAGTTTTGCTCGATTTTTTTCTGAGTTTTGTTTTCTGCAATCTCATTATTCCATGTAAACCTTTGTGCTGATGCTTGCCTTTCCTGGTTTCTGATATATATATATACACTGTCTGTGCAGCTGATCCAACGCTGTCAGTTCTGGTCGAAAGAAATTTCTCTCAGGAATATGTGAGATCACTATATCCATTTTCTTTTGTACACAGTGTTGATGATGATTGTTGGTCACTTATTCAGTTTTCCCTGGATAGCCATTTCTTATCTTGCAATGCTACAATATCTTTTGAAAGATTAGTGTCTTCATATCCTGGTCCTCTAGTATTTGTTACAATATTGGTGAGCATATCAATATAACTTCCCTGATTCGCATTTTATATTTTTTGAAGATTTCCTGTTCTTACCTTTTGTTGGTTTGAAGGTATTGTTGTAACCTAATCAATTTATTTGTTTTTCCAGTGTCCTGATCCTCATTTTAAGAAGAGGCATCATAAGAGAAGAGTACTGCAGAAGCCTTTGGTTGATTCAATTTTGAATAATCTGATCACAGGAGGACAGGTATGTCGTTGCTAGTTGTCCATTGTATCATCATTATGAGATTTCTAACTCGCAGTCAGTCAGTTGGGTTTGAGGGCCTGCTACCAGCCACACTTTTAAGCGTCATTTTGCAATCAATTTAATTTGTCATCCAATACTTAGGTTCACCATGGAAAAAGAGTTTTAGGGTTTATTTGGAATAGTTTTTTCATGGTTCTTCTAACTAAAAATTTGCCACTGTTCTATTTGGCCGCAATTTCTTTGTTGCTTACTTGCTTTGTAAGTACTTTTTAGGGAGAAAGTAGCTTTTAACAATTAGTTATGTTAAAAAAGCTATTAACTGATATTTTTTGTAAGGAAAAAAGCTTACAATATGCGCAATAATTAAAAAAAAAAATCCATATTTTTTACAACTTTTTATAGTTACTTTTACGTCAAATGAAGCTAACTTCAAACCATGGTTTAAAATTGCGCAATATGAGACTCTCCTTGAGGCCCGCCTTTGCGCAATTCCAGTAAAAAACGCCTCGATGCTTACGCCTCGAGTTTTTTTTATGAGGCTTGCGCCTCAACTTGGTTGAGGCCCGCCTTGAGGACCGCCTCACCTCACTGGCATGAGGCTTACGCCTCATGCTATATATATTAAAACTTACATAAATCTTAAAGTAAATGCCTGACATTGGACTCTATAGGAGAGGAGGAAGGGGAGAGAGCAGTTCACCATAATGATGATTCAAATGAAGAACCCCTTAGTGATGACAGTGCTGATGACTTATGAGTTCTTATGTGATATGTCATTGCTATTTATTTTTGGAAATTGGAATTATATGTTAATGAAAAGAATACTGGGATTTGGGAAAGATAGAATTTTGAGTTGAACTATATTTTATGTTGTCTTATTATTGAGATATTTTGATTTCACTTCATATCTTATATTTTTTTATGTTTTATATTATTCAGTCATTAATATATAAAAAATTTATCATTTTATATTTACGCAATCTTTTGATTTTGAGGCTTACGCCTCAAAACCCCTTGAGGCTTACGCCTTGCCTCACGAATGAAAAACGCCTCAACACCCGAATACGCAATTTTAAACATTGCTTCAAACAGACCCTTAAACTAGGGTGTTTTTCTCTTGTCTTTTGAAAATTGTCTATGAACAAATGCTAGTTATAATTTTTCTATTGGGAAAGTTATCCTTATATAACATGAATAGTTCCCTTTCATTGTTTCTCAAAATACATATAAAATGGTAATGAACAAAAAATTTGCACCGCGAAGGCAGAATATATCCATGATTGTAAAGAATAATTGAGAATTAGGCTGAAGAAAATTAGGCATGATTCAACTAAGATTTGAATTGCGCAATTGGGTATTGACGTATTTCTTTATGTGAGATAAGATATAGGACTCGAGGTATAAAAGCCAAAATTAACCATTAAGTCAATAAAACATATAATACGATAAATAACATACTAGCAACAAAGTAAGATGTTGAATATCATAAAAAATTAAAGACAAACGATTAAATGTCATACAAGGCTATAATTAATACCGAGTAAAAAGTGCATAAGATAAACCAATGGGTTTATCCGTAAGGTATTTAAGTGATGTCTTCTATTGTTATGAACATACTATAATGCACAGACACTTCTTCATACACAGTGTCCAACATGCATTCAACATGCCTTCAACACACATTGAACACGTCGAAGATTTGTTCGATAAAAAAAATGTTAAAAATAAATTGGACATGCATGTCTGACAATCATGTCTTAAATATTTTATTAATTTTTTTCTAGGTATAATTTTTTGTATTTTAAATTTTTATTCATTAAAAAAATAATCAATTTTATTTATTTATAGCGCCAAATCAATTACCTGCACTCAATACCCCATTCTCTGATTATTCTTATTTTCATTACTCTTTGTCGTGTCGCGGCTAGGATTTAACAATAACGCTCGATGTCATCTCAACATTGTTGTGCGATGCTATCACAACATCTACTTTTCAAAACTATCTCAATATCGAAATCTAACGATGTCTTGACATCGACATTTGACGTCAAAAATTTCTACACCCACAATCATGCCCCCACGCCATCTTGACATCTCATATTTGTTGTGGGCTTCGAAAATTCGGCCCCGGCCTCCATCTACTATGCTTTCTTCGGGAGGAGTTTCAACGGAATTAAGTTCTAGGGTGAATTTTGGGAAGGCAGATGAGTTTGTAGATAAGACACTTCCTATAGATGTTGTCCTCATTCTGCGAGGACTTTATGATCTGAGTTCTGGTTTCCTATAGGTGCAAGCCCCCATAGTTTATTACCCCTCTCGATAATGAGAGATAACTTTTGATTAAGGCTAGTCGTCGATCAGGTACGTTGTATCCATAGATATGTAGTATCACGCGTATATTTAGCATTGGTATATAATTGGAAGGATTAATATTTAAAACAAAAATTTCACCATATTGCACTTAAAACGGATGGTGGGGGAGGTAGTCGACCCAACATGACAGAAGGATTCTTGTCGGCAGCCATGGGTTGCTTCGTTCAAAGGGAGGCCTGTGATGAATGTTTGTGTAATTGGACAAATTTGAATCCATCTTAGTTAACAAAGGGCTTTGTGCTCTATCAATCATATCATATTGATTCATATATTAAGAATTTGATGCCATGAAGGAACGTATTGGCTCTGACCATAACCGGTATTTCATGGTGCCATTTGGCGGCAAAACTACTCGATTCAGATGGCCCCGGGTCATAACCGTTTATCCAGCGGTGCCATTTGGTAGCAAAATCGCCGATAAGAGGACACGTACCACGTCCTTACTGGCAGGAGATTATTTGAGAATGGATCCTAGTAATATTCTCGACTATGCATTTGCTCTATGTGAGCTGAAGTTATTTTCAAATTTGTCCACCTCGGCAAACTGTTGCGGAGGGTGGATGGATTTTGCTTTAAGCATTGATGATTGGATTATTTCAATTTTAAATATTTTAATCTTGGGATTTTTTATTTTTTTTTGGAGTTTTAGAGTTTCACGTACTTGGGATGACATTTTGAAATATTTGAAATTAACCCATATGGTTGAGATTTGCATTCAACACGGCCATCATCGGGGTGGCTGGGGTTACTTCCATTTTATTGGTCAAACCCTGTCGACTTTGTCCACTTTCCAACAGAGGATTGAATTTTGTAAACTTTGGACCTTTATTGGTGAACTTTTTTTTATTAAAGGACTTGAAGGCCTAATATGAATATATAAAATAAATATCCAGGACGACCTCACAACTGCATATTTATTTAATGGTTCGAGCCATGTCGACTTTTATCTATCCACATAGAAGGATCGGGCTCAAACATGGGTTTATTTATTGACCCGCGCAACATCCCTATATGTCACGTGCGTATCCATAACACGCTCGTCGGGGCCCATGCGGGTGTTTGAGGGCATTTTATAATTATTTACTGAACCTTGTCGACTTCTATTTACCCGCTTAGGAGGATCGGGTTCAAATTTATTTACCCACGTAGCATCCCTAGACGTTACGTATATTCCTACACCACGCTCGCTGGGGCCCATGCTGGTTGTGTGATTGGATTTGCCCCTTTTAGTGTACCTATGTGCATATATATTACGGTGCATGTGCGAGAGGCATTTTTGGAATATTTAATGGGTCTTCTACAGCTGCTCGTAGGAATTTGCATATGCTTCATTCTTGATGTATTTTGTTATGGTTTTGGTCCTTACAATACATTCACTACTGCTGCAGGTATATGTATTCATTCGCAAATAGGAAATGACTACATGATACTGCATTTACTGAAGCCTTTCTGCATCTACCTATAGGTGGCATGTTGTACATATAACTATATTCGTAGAGAGATTGTATGTATTGCATATCTTTTACCCTTTCTTGCAGATAATGTATTGTATGCATTAAGGGTCCTCTACAGTGGTCCGTGAACATGCCGTTGTGTCAGTAACAACTCTATCGTCGTTGACAGTATACATTTGCATTCGCTGTAGTCTTATATCCTTGCTTGTGAGGAACATATGTACTTATGTCCATGGAGAATTTGCCGTACTTACCACATATCCGCTGTTGTTATCCACCAATAATTCCACTGGTCGTCGTAGCTCACAAGGAATGGTTGTATTTGTCTACTAGTGAAATGACCTCGACCGTAGGGATATCACAACCTTCGCTACATGCCACTTGAGTGTGTTTGTTCATAATTTGGGCGTTGACTGTAGTGACATCTTTGCAATCAATGCATATCCTTTAATGTTTCTTCATGGATGGGTCATCATTTGTATTACAGACCCTATTGTCATTTGATATATGTGTTTGCAAGTGGATATAGTAGGGGCTACCATGTCTTATTGCATAACTCGTGCTAAGACTAATATCAATTGCCATTTCTTTGCTTATGGGAGTAGTATGTTCATTTGTATAATTGATGTAAATATCCCTTTCTCTTACTTGCAGACTGCTTTGACTGAATGCTACGAGTTATTTCAATATCATCATTCCTCCTCTGCGTGCATTTGAGATCCCTTTAGTAATGTTTTTTTTTTTGGAGTTGAATCCTTGCTGGTGATAGGTATGCTATTGCATTTCTTCATGCTCACTAGGAATTTATTCCATTAGTATCATCCAACTCCTCTTTGCGAACTCGTGGACCCACTAATGTGGGCAATATGGACATCATTTTATTTATACATATACTGAAGGTCTTTCATTGTCTTTGAGAGTTGATTGTATCTTGAGTGTTGATTTTCTTATCGATGTTTATATAATGATCCTTCATGAATCTCTCATTTGCTCATGAGCAACTCATGTTCAATGAGATTTTAATGTAAATCCTTCATTGCTCATTGTTCTTTGCATGATCAAAACATTTAATTGCAATAGAGTTCAATTCCCTATGATCATGAGTTTTGGCTTTTAATTAAATCTTTCATTCTGACCCATGCTCGCAAACTCCTTTAACTCGAGTCAAAGTTC